CCCTTGGTTAATGGTACTTTTGTCCTTCCAAGGCCAAAACCTTGACGTCATCCTTGACAATTCTGTTTCTTACAGTCCACCTGTATTCTATCAACAGATTGGCTGTCTTCCAAGGATGTGCAGACTCTGGCCTCTTCTCACCACCTCCACTGCTGTCACGCTGGCCGGGCTGCCTTCTGTTGGGCTAGCCTCCTTACTCTCACTCTTAACCCCACGTTATTCTCAACATGGCAGCCAGAGCGATCCTGTTAAAATGTAAATCAGATCATGTATGTCATGCCTCTGCTCCAACCCTCGAAGGGTTCTATTTCTCTCAAACAGAAGCCAGTCATCAGAAGTGATCTGGACCCCATTAAACCTCTAATGGCATTTCCTATTTCACCCACATTCATTCCTCTCCAGATACAAGTAGCCTCACTGTTCCTCAGATATACCAAGTATGTTCCTGCCTGTGAGATTTTGAATTTGCTGTTCCCTGGGACTTGGCATATTCTTTCCCCCAGACACTTCGATGTCTCATTCCTTCACCTCCTTCAAATCTTCACTCATCCATCATGTTCTCCATGAGGCTGACTCTGACCATCCCATTTAAATTTCACCTCTTGTCCCCTACTTTCCCAGCCACCTTGCCCTTGTTCATAGTAGTTACAACATTCTAACGTATAATATACCTATTTATGTTTATTACCTATTGTCTGCATCTTCTGACTACATTATTAATCCCATGATGGTACGGATTTTTGTCTATTTGTTCATTGCTATATTCCTAGCATCAGAACTGTAACTGGAACAATAAATAATTGCTGAAAGTTGAATGGTCAGATGGGCCCTTATCAAATGCTTATAACTAAGGTCACTCAAAACCAATTTAAGTGGCAATAAACATCAAATGAAGCTATAAAGTATCAAACTATGAGGACTTCAGGATGAACCACCAATTTCTTAAAAGAGATCTAATAGCAGGCAAACTTTGAAAACATGTCCCTTTTAACTTCAGTTACCATTTATTGAGCAACTACTGTATAAAGGTCTTTGGACTTTACACATATTACAGTAGGTCCTTGAATAAGTGTTTTGTACAATGTTGTTTCATTATAACATTGATGAGATGCTGTAGGACCTTTACTCTTGTTTATATCAATTAACCCATGGTTAAATTGGTTTCATTATATGTTATTTCACTTGAAGTTCCAGAACCTATTGATGACTTTATTGAGGACTTAGTATACCTTTAAACCTCACAATAATCCCCAGTAGTAGAGATCTATTAATCTCATGCACTGATGAAGAACAGAGACTCATTACTTAAATAACTTCTCCAAAGTCACACATCTAGTAATAGAACCAATATGTGAACACAGATATGTATGATTTCAAAGCACCTACTTGTACTCTTGTACCACGAGTCTTCCTTTTCTTGAAGAATCATGAAGGTAGAGAAATAGCTTCTGAAAATGGCTGTCATTTTTTTCTTGCATCCAATGAGAATTAAGAGTCCTAAAATATAAGAATGGGCATAAACTGCTTTTTTGGAATTGTACTCTATCAAACCTTCCTTGCCTCTGGGAGCCACGTGCAACTATGCACAGAGGCAGGCTCAGCTCTGGGCTGTGCCCTAGAGACTTAAGCTCCCTGAGACTGTGATGAGC